TCCTGAGTAACTAGGATTGCAGGCATGAGCCACCAGCACCCTGCTATAGGTAGACTTTTTAGCACCTCCTATGTAACAGTACTTATCCTCCAATTACAGATATATAACAGTGAATTAACACCATCCCGTACCCTCTTCCAGTTTATAGTTAGTGAGGGAACTGACATGAACAAGTGTATATTTTTAGAGATGAGTTTTTGAAGGAAAATAAAACATAAGGAAGAATGGATTTGGTGCATAAAATATACCACAAAGTTGTTCCCTTCTTGAATTAAGGAAACTAGCCTTTTATATCTGTAAACTAATAAGTAACTAGCCGAGAGCCTCTCTGTGATTGAGGTAGTAAGACATGAAACTTCTTGGGCAACGTGATTCCAGTTTATTAAGGCCAATACTTGGAAGTGGAGAGCAGTAGCTCAGTTATTTAAATATTTAATAATTTTATACATATATCACCAATAATTTATACTGTCAACATTTTGCCTGAATTAATTTTATCACATATCTTTTTTCTTGTGCCTCCCTCCTTCTACATTATTTTTGGATGCATTTTAAAATAACTTTAAAATAGGGATGCTTTCCCTAAATATTTAAGCATTAATATCATCATTAAATGGAGTTCAATATTGTCCACTTTGTTCTTTTAAGGTTAACTTTACATAAAATATCATGTAGAATCTGATGAAAACATTTAGAAAATTTTGACAAATATGTAACTTGTGTATCTTAAATTTTATCAATATAGAAAATATTATCACCATCCTAGGAAGTTTCTGAGTGTCCTCTCTTAATGAATCTTTTTATCCATCCCTAAGTGACCATTATTATTCTAATACTTCTACTATAAATTATTTTTTCCTTTTCCTCCTCCTCCTCTTTGTCCTCCTCCTCCTCCTCCCATTCCCCTCCCCCCTTGGTACTGAGTTTTATACTCAGACCTTTATGCATGCTAGGCAGGCTGAGCTATGCTTCCATTCCCTAAATTACTTTATTCTTGAACTTGGTATAAATGGAATAACTCAATGCATACACTTTTATTTAAGGAGTATTTTTTTAGTCAGCATATTTTTTGAAATTTATTGATGTTGTTGAATACATGATAACTCATATCTTTTTATTTCTAAGTTTTTTCTACTACTTGAGCATGAATATCCCACAGATTATTCATTCTTCTGTTGATGGGTACCTAGGCTACTTACTGGCTATTATATACTGAACAAAACTGATAAATAATTGTACTAGTCTTTTTATTATCACCTGTTTTAATTTTCCTGGGATTACAAATATAGGAATGGAGTCTTATGTTACATAAACATTGTTTAGCTTTTAATAAACTGCTGGACTTTTCTCTAGAACATAATTGTACCATTTTTTTATTCTCCAAATAATGTATTAGATATTTAGTTGTTCTCAGTCCTATCTCAGTCCTGGTCAGTCTTTGAGGTTGTTTGTTTTCTGGTGCCAATCCTTGGCTTGAACTTGGGGCCTGAGTACTGTCCCTAGAGATTCTTTGCTCAAAGCTAGCACTCTACCACTTGAGCCAGAGATCCACTCCCAGCTTTTTGGTGGTTAATTAGAAATAAGAGTCTCTTGGGTTTGTCTGCTAGGACTAGCTTAGAATCTTGATCCTTCTATCTCAGCCATCTGAATAGCTAGAATTACAAGAATGCACCACTGGCACCCAACTTTTTGTTGTTGTTGTTGTTGGTTGTGGGGCTTGAACTCTGGGCCTGGGCGTTATCCCTCAGCTCTTCAGCTCAAGGTGAGCACTCTACAGCTTGAGCCACAGTGCCACTTCCGGTTTTCTAGTGGTTTATTGGAGATAAGAGTCTCACGCACTTTCCTGCCCGGGCTGGCTTTGAACTGTGATCCTCAAGTCTCAGCCTCCTGAGTAGCTAGGATTACAAGCGTGAGCTACCAGCACCCGGCCTATTGTTGTTTTTTTTTTAATGGCATTTTTGTTGTTGCTGCTTCCTCTTCTCTCTGTTGCTCTTTCTCTCTCGCTCTCTCTCTCACTCTCCCTCTTTCTCCCTCTCTGTCTCTACTCTCTGTCTCTGTCTCTCTTTCTGTCTCTGTCTTTCTGTCTCTCTGTGTCTCTCCTCCTCTCCCCTCTCCTTTTTCCCTTCTCCCCTCTTTCCTTTCTCCTCTCTTCCCTCCTGTGTGTGTCGCAACTGGAGCTTGAACTCAAGGCCTTGCATTCTCGCTGGGCCTTTTCACTCATGATGGTGTTCTACCACTTAGGCCATGTCTCCAGTTTCAACATTTTGCTAGTTAATTAGATAAGACTTAAGGCTTCCAACTGTGGTCATGAGATTTCAGCCTTCTAAGTAGCTAACATTACAGATGTCAACTACTAGTGCTGAATGATTTTTTTTCCCCTTGAGCTATATGCTGAGAGTTTAGTAGTTTACTTTTATGATTTTCGTTTGTATTCTATTTTTCTGCTCTTACTGTTTTATTTCCTTGGGTCTTTTTATTTTCTACTTACTTTTAAACTTTTGAGATGGAGGCTTATATACTAGTATCATCCTTTACTTCTAATTCATACATTTAAAGTATAAATTTCTTTACAATAATTGTTTTAGTTCTATTCTGTTTTCACAAGCCATATATAGGAAATATTTAAATAGTTCCATTGTGATTCATTTGCTTTTCAACTTATGCTTATTAAGAAGTATGTAACTAATTGTCAATCCATAGGAGATTTTCTAGATAAAAAAAAAAACCAATTCTAGCTTGGTTGCACTATAGTTGGGAAAGGCATCAATTCTTTGAAATGTGTTCAGATTTGCTTTATATTTACATATGTGTTTTAAGTATATTTTTATGCAGTCTGCTGTTATTTAAGAGTATTGTGTGTGTGTGTGTGTGTGTGTGCGCGCCTGTGCCTGTAATATGGTTGGTTAATTATGTTCAAATACTCTATATCTTAGTAATTTTTTCCTAGTTGACCTTGCACCTTTTGACAAACATGTTAGTCTTTTGTATGGTTATTGGTTTGTCTGTAACCTTTTAGTATTTTCACCTTTTGACTTTATATATTTAAGCTTGCACATTGTGTGTATGTGCATGCATATGTGTGTGCGTTTGTGCGCGCGCGCGCGCGTGTGTGTGTGTGTGTGTGTGTGTGTGTGTGTGTGTTCTGGTTCTAGGGCTTGAACTCAGGCCTGGCCACTGTCCCTGAGCTTTTTGCTCAAGGCTAGCACTCTACGACTTGAGCCAGAACTCTACTTCCAGCTTTTTGGTGGCTAATTGGAGATTAGAGTCTCACAAATCTTGCCCTGGTTGGCTTCAAACCTTGATCCTAAGATCTCAGCCTCTTGAGTAGGATTACAGGTTTGAGCTACCAGTGCCCAGCTATTTAATCTTTTTTACTTTGATGTAACTTTGCTAGTTTGAGCATTCAAATTTAGAATTACAATGTTGACCCCAGGGCTTTGCCTGGTCTACTCCTTGGGGGAGCTCCACCTGCAACCTCTCTATTTTTCATAATGCTCATTAAGGCATTAATTAGCTGATACCACTATGTTGGTATTCTTTTAGTTGGTCTTTGTTTGCCAGATATCTGTGAGACTCTTACTTCCAATTAACCAGAAAAAAGCTAGTCAGGAAGGGTGGCTGAAGTGGGTAGAATAGCAGCTGTGATTAACAAACAAACAAAAAAAAAGCCTATCTTGGTTCTGATCACTTCAAATTTTCTCACTCTCTCTAATTTTCTCAAATATGTGTATGTTAAAGCTTTTAAGTGGGTTCCATGTACTATCAATGCTCTTCATATTTTTCAATGCTTATTTCTCTGTTCTTTGATTTGGATATTATCTGTTGACCTTATGTTTCACTTTATGTTTGCTCATTTCTTTGGATATGCTTGCTACTGGACAAACTGTACTATAATATTTTGGGGAACTTTTGCTATGAAGAAGAACAAGGATATAGGCGTAAAAATTGAGCCATGTAGATAACTAAGAATGTAGAAATGGGCATTATTTATTTTTATGGTTGTTCAGTAGAGGGAAGGAAAACCTGTGTGAGAAAGAAGAGGGCGGAGAGAGGATGCAGGAAGAGAGAGTCAAGGAAGGAGGAGGAGAGAAGGAGAGAGAGAGGGAGGGAGAGGGAAAGAGGGAGAAAGGGAGAAAGGGAGATATGTGGGAAAATTGTCCCAGAATTGGAGAGTCAATTGAAAGACTATATTGGTAACTCTGTAATTTATGTTTTATATTTGTACCTTTTTTTTCTTTTTTTTATTGTGAAAATACTGCACAGAGGGGTTACAATTACATGGGCAAGATAATGAGTACATTTCTTATCAAGCATTGTAGCCTCCTCCTTTGTTTCCCCTTCCCATCCTTTCCCATCCTTCCCCCGTCCTCCCACCCAATCCTCCCCCCCACCAAAATTGTAAAGTTCATTTTCGACAAAAAGACTTGTACAATTTGCGTGTATCTTTAGTGCTACTTTTATTTCATAGGTTACTACCATAGTATTCTTTGTCTCTTATTCATTCATTCAGTCAGTCAGTCAGTCATATATTGGGTCTTCTAGGCTCAAGCAATCTTCCTGCCTCAGTCTCCCAAGTAGCTGGGGCTATAAATGTATGCTACTACACCTAGCTATATTATTACTTCTGTGGGACTATTTAAATATTTCTTTATTATTATTTGTTTTATTGTAAAGGTGATATACTAAGGGGTTACGGTTACATAGTCAGGTAATAAGTACAGTTATTTTTGAGCAGTGTCACCTCTTCCCTTGTTTTCTCCCAGTTTTCCCCTCCTAACCTTCCCATTCTAAGTTGTACAGTTCATTTTCAACATACTTTCTAGTGAGTATCACTGCTGCATTTGTTCACCCTTTGTTCCACTTTTAATAGTATTTGTTGACCATATAGTCATATTTTTTACTATATATTTAAAGAGTTATTTGTATGAATTAAATCACTAGAAGTACTTTGAATAGAAAATCAAGTCTTCATAAACATTTTTCTATATTTTCTTTTATAGTTTTATACTAGAAGAGCACAACCATGTTTCGGAATAGTCTCAAGATGCTTCTTACTGGTGGTAAATCAAGTCGTAAAAACAGATCAAGTGGTAAGTGACTATCTGACATTTATTCTGTGAAATATTTTAGAAATATAGACTGTTCTAGAGATCTGAATTAATGATATAGCATGTTTATTATTTAAATGGTATTTTAAGCTTGGAGAAAAAAGTTTAATATTTCTACAGGCTGTTATACTCTATTAAAAATAGTAGCCATACTTAAACACTTACTACAAGTAAAGGAAAATATTGTGAAGGAAAATACTTATAGATACAAGAATAATGTTTTTGTACATCTGTCTAGACCTAAATTAATTTTTTTGTTAATATGGAAAACTATTGCAGTTCTAGATTCTGTGGGGAGGAAAACTTTAAAAATAGAATGTTTTATTAATTTATATCAAAAGTAACATTCATGTTCTATATTAATAAAAGTATTAAATTAGAATATACAAAGTTTTTGTTTTTAAAGAACAAGAGGGCAAATAAATCTTTTAAGATAAATGAAACAAAACTTTTGGAAAAGAATATTGAAGAGAAATGAAGAAGAAAATTTTGGTGTTAAGGGGTGGTAGACTTACTGGATTCTTTAGAAGTTTTTTGACTTCCTAAATTTTTTCAGTTTTTAAATTTACATTAATATTATCCCATTATCATCTATTTTAAAATGTTTTAAAATTTTCCATTGTAACTTCCTCTTGACATTTAGGTATTTAAAAGTGTACTTAAAACTTTTAAGCAGTTTATGATTTTCTGATTATTCTTACTATGAAGAAAAAGATTCTCTATAAGAATTAAAGGAGAATTTCTTTCCCATCTACTGTCAATACTCTGATGTCCAGATATGCATTCTACACCCCCTCCCCCCCCCCCCCCCCACACACACACATAACTATTCAGTTTTCTGGCAGATACTGACTGGATGTTTTATAATTCAGTTCAATTCAGTTCTAACTCTACTTCTCTAGAGACCTGGAGTAAGCTGACAGGCTCTGTCCTATACGTTAGATGTCAGTTGCAAATGGGTCCCCAGGTTACCAACAACTTCATCCTGATTTGGCTGCAAATTAGAGGTTCCCATGACCCTTCCATGAGCTTAATTATTTTCTACAATGGCTCACAGAACTCAGGAAACCAAGTTACTTAGAAGATTACTGGTTTATTAGAAAAGAATACAACTCAAGAACAGCCTGCTGAAAGACATGGGTAGAGAAAAGTATGGAGAACCACCGAGCTTCCATGTCCTTTTTTACTGTGCTGTTCTTTCAAAACCTCTGTGTTTCTCAGCCAAGAAACCCTCCAACCCTCAGCATTTATTTTATTTTATTTTTGTAGTATTCATGCTTTACAGATGATTGATTCAACTAATCCCTCTGTCCAGAGGTCAAAGCCTAAAGTTAAAAGTTGTAACTCTACTCATATTGTCTCCTCCTCCCCAACCCCCCCCCCCCCCCGCCCCCCAACAACAAGGCCTCAGTTTAAGGCTGCCCAATAGTCTCCCTCCAGTCATCTTGTTAGCATATCAGAAAAAAAAATCAAAACTTCTCACTTTGGGAATTTCAAAGTTTTAGAGCTGTGTGGCAAGAAATAGAACAGAGATCAAATGTATTTTCTGGCTATGTCACATTATTATTATTGTGACATATAATTACACAGTTAATAAGAGTGGGATTTTTCTTTAATTTTTATTCAATTTTTTCCCTCTTAAGGAAGGCATTAATGATGGATTGATTGGTATTTATTCAGGGACATATTTGGTTTTAAATATAAACCATTTTTGTGTTCTGTTTATTTTATTTCATTAATTGTAAATAATACTCTTGTAGTTTTTAAGTGGTTACCTAAAGATGAAAATATCAGTCTTTAATTTGGTAAAATTTGATATTATGTAATTGGTACTTTAGTCTTCTTTGATTCTTATCAAAGGTTTGATTCTTATCTTTAGGTTCTTGTTACTTATTTTAAATCCCACATTTCTTCTCTTTTTTTCTTCCTTTCTTTTTTTTGTGTTTTTAAAGTTTCAGACAGGATATCATTATGTAGTACAAGCCAATTCTGTTCTTGGACTCACAATATTAGTTTCTCTGCATCTTGAATGCTGTAGAGTACCAAGCCAGCTCTCCATGAGGCATTTTCATTTATGTAGTCAACTACTAGATTTATCTACTTATTTTTCACTGAATTACATTTCTTCTAGTATCTCTTATTTTTTTATCTTGGTGGAATTACTTTGCTTTAGTCTGAAGAAACCTTTAGAATTTTTTAAAGTGAGAAGTCATTTTATGGCAATTTGTTTTTGCTTTGTCAAAATGTCTTTATTTGCCTTCATTAAAGAAAATTAAATTGTTATTTTCTTAAGTATTTGTATGAAGGGATTACTATTCAGCATGTCAGTTTATGAGTACAGTGCATCTTGGTTAATATCCCTTTCATTATTCATGCCTTTATTTTTGAAGGTTATTTTTCTCGGGTATAAAACTAGGTTGGCAGTTACTTTACTTTGAGCATTTATAAAATGCTTTTCTATTGTCCTTGTACTTTATTGTTTCTGAAGAGATGCTACCCAATTCTTATTGTTCTTTCCTGGACTATTAAAGGCCTGCCTTTATCATTTGACTATGATATTCTTATTTGATTTTTTTCTGTTATCTTGTTTGGGGTTTGGTGTGCTTTTGAGTCTGTGTTACTCTCTTCTTCAGCTGTGTTTTGTTTTGTGTTAATTTAGCCCTTTTTTTTTAACCTTTTTGGGAGGCTTTAGTCTGTATGTTAGATTACCTGATGATACCCTTTGTTATTGCTCTCTCTTCTTATGATTTTTTTCTTTTGATAATGTAAATTGGTTTGTCTTCAAGTTTATTGACATTTAGTTCTGCTGTTTCTAGTCAGCTTCTAAGTCCAGTCAATGAATTTTTAATTTTGAACAGTGGGTTTTAATTCTAGAATATCCATTTTGTTTTAAAAACAAAATCCAATTCTTTGTTAAAATTTGCTTTTCTCATTTTTGTATCTTAATTCTTATCTCTTATTCATAATAAGTAATAATGATAGTTTAATACTTCATGTTTTCTGCTAAATCCTTTATTTCTGTTATTTGTACATGTCTTGTCTTACTTTACTGTTTGATTATAGATTACATTTAACTTATGTGTCACATATTTCTGTGTCTCAGTTTTTAAATATCAGATATTGTTTTTAAAAGAACTATGGAGGCTGAAATAGTATTTTTATCCCTAAAGACAAAGAATTATTTAATAGCATGCATTAGTTTTGCAAGGAGAGGGTTTCATTGTGACATTTCCACACTTGATACAATGTATCCTGTTTAGCTTGACTCCCTCAGGAAAAGCATTTTCTGTATGAGGCAGCCATGATGAAGAGCTGATGATTTGGGAATTGATGAATGATGGGGTTGGATAGTGTGTAGAGGGAGATCTTCTATATGTAATGTCAGGCCTCTTCCTTTAGCAAGACTTCAGTATCCAAACACCATCTGACTATGGAGATTTTACTCAACTTCACAGACAAGCTTGCAATCTCCCATATGATGGCCACTGGTTTATCAAGTCTTGTGGAATGAATAGTGAGATCTAACAAAATTTTATTTCCTTTTCCTTCCGTACCAGAAGTTGTAATACCATTGCCATAGGACCAATCTAGCCCACCACTTGGTTATGTAAAAAAAAAAAAAGGACACAGCCAGATTTTTTATTTATATAATAATAATATTGATAATTATTTTTACCCTGGCATAAGTTTTTATTGAAGTATAAAGGACTTGGAGAGCTAAGTCCCTCCCCAGGACCAGCACATGAGACAGTCAGTGTCCCAGGGTTGGGGGTTTGCTGAATTATATTTGATGGGTTTACTGGCCTGCATAGGTACATCAAACACCGTTTTAGGAACTATTCATTGATTTACCTTAGTATAAAATGAATCTGTCATTAATCCTTAGATGTGTCGGGTACCTAAAAAAAAAAAACCATCTTGTTACATCCCATGAACTAGGTGAGCCATATCACTTTTAAGTTGAAAAGTTTAATTACAATATTCTGTCTCAAAGAACTTGTGATCTGTTCTTCCGATGGTCACCATATGTCTCTCAGTTACCTAATGTTTTTCTCTGTAAGGACTGGAGACTTTGTAGTATTTTCCATTTTAGGTTTTCTGTGCATATCCCCATCATTTGTGGCTAGCTGCTACCTATTAGTATGCATAATTATTAAACAATTCTGGTAAAGTATGGCCTAGTTGATCATTATGGACTGGTCTTAGCGTTGTTTTCTCTGTTATAACTTGAGACGAGCAGTTTTGGTCAGGATAAACAAGTCATTGTTGCCTGTCTTATAGTCTTTACTGAAGAGGAATTTTGCTGTTGAGGACAGTTTCCTCCATCCTTATGAAGGCATTTGTTATTAATTAGTAGTATCTTTCCTGGATTCCAAAGTGAATGGCTTAGAACAAGAACAGAGACAAAAATGAGGACAAGGATGCCACACTGCTCTTCTACTTTCAGTTAAATCATGAGCCCAAGTAAGGAGTTCATGTTTTTCAACAAAAGCAGCCTCTAAAAGAAGTAGAAATATCACAGACAAATTAATTCTGAAGCTTAGCAGTAGCATCAAAAACCCAGTTTCTTTCCCTCTTTGTATTTCTATTTTCAGAACATTGATTATTATTCTTAGATTGTTCTTAGGTAGCTGCACAAAGACTGTACTACCTTCAAGTTTTATATCGCAAATTGTATTGTTCCAAGACTAGTAGAACAACTGTTATTTTCCTTGTTACCATTTTAAGATTAAAGAAAAGAACTGAAAGACATTCTCTCCTATTCTTATCCCCTTGGCCAAATTGTAAACTTTCTTCAACTTATTAATTTAACTGCAAATTTTATTAATACTCATTTGCTGATCAGGTGTCTCTTCTTACCCTAGGAAGAGAATTAGCTTCCCTAAAAGCAAGTACCTAAAATGAAGTCAGGGTTGTGTTAGCATGAAAGCTGCGAGTAGATACACAGTGAGAGTCTGACATTTTTACCTAAATCAAAAATT